TGCAGCACATTACTACTAAGACCGGTCTTGATGTTGCTTTTATGTGATTTTAGGTCTGTTCTTGTATTATCTCATACTGAGGTGATGGTGAATCAGGGTATTTACCTTAATTGTCCACATTTATATTGTGTAATAAAGCATACTTTTTGGAACTACTTTGAGTATCGCATTCTGTCCATAATGTAACCACTTTTTTGTGAATCTCTTTTCACGGTTCTTTTTTTGTATGCATTTTTTTTGGTTACTGGGCAGAAAGTATACGTTTGGTGATACAGTATATTTATGAGCCTCTACCCTTTTCTAATTTATCACTGATTATCAGTACCCTGATGATCAGTGTAGCCCCATCAGTGCCATCTCTCAGTGCCCATCAATGCCACCTGTCCATGCCCATAAGTGCCATATATCAGTGCCTACCAGTGCACATCAATGCCACATATCAGTGCCCATCAGAGCTGCCTTTCCGTGCCACCTATCAGTGATACCTATCAGTGCCTCATATATGGCACTGATAGGCGGTACTGATGGGCACTCATAGGAGTGCTGCCTTTCAGTGCCCATCAGTGATGCCTGTCAATGCCCACCAGTGATGCCTGTCACTGCTCATCACTGCCGCCTATCAGTGCCCATCACTGCAGCCTCAATAGTGCACATCATTGATGGAGAAAAATTACTTATTTACAAATTTTTATAACAGAAACTAAGAAAAAAAGTTTTGTTTTTTTTTCTAAATGTTCAGTCTTTTTAGTTTAGCAAAAAAATAAAACCCTATCGTGATTAAATACCACAAGAAGAAAGCTCTAAAAAAAAAAAAAAAAAAAGGAAGAAGAAAATGAATTTTGTTTTGGTACAGTGTTACATGACCGTGCAACTGTCATTCAAAGTGCGACAGCACTGAAATCTGACGTTTGGCCTGGGCAGGAAAAGGGTAAAAGTGCCCCATAGGCAAGTGGTTAAAAAAAAAAAAAAAATAGCCTTGGATGCAGATGATGTCTGAACAAATGAAAGCTAGTGTCAATCATCTCTGACTACACCTATTAATGTTATATTAATGCACAAAAAAGTACACATTGATGTTCAATGATGATTTTTGATATTTAGAATTTTATTCGAATTGCTCTTGTGAAACAATTTTTAGACTGTGACTGGCGCAGCACCAATCAGGACTTTGCAAACAGACTCATACTGTAGTAATATTGTGGGCAGAACAGTGCTAAATGGTTAGTACTTCTGCCTGGCAGTACTAGGGTCATTGGTTCGAATCCCAACCATGGTACTTCCTGCCTGGAGTTTGCATGTTCTCCCTATGCCTGTAGTATAATTGAATCCTGTCAAAAAATTGGCCCTAGTATGTATATGTATGAATGTGTGTTAGGGACAGATTGTATGCCCCTTGAGGGTTACGGACTAACGTATAATATATATGTAAAGCGCTGTGTAAACTGACGGCACTATATAAGTACCTGAAATAAATAAATTAATAATAGAAACCCCTCCAAGGATCTTTCCCTTGCACATGCCAAACAACAGGGTAAGATCATTTGACCACACAACAGCACTGCAGGAATAAGAGGACTTAAAAACAAATATTAATACTACAGTGGCATGATATATATAGTGGAGAAATTTATTTGATCCTTTGCGCCTTCTTAAATTGACAGGACTAATCTGTGTACCGCATTAGAACATAGCCAGTCTGTTGGAGCCAGAATTATTGTTGGTTGGTAGGGGATCAAATACATTTTACTCACTGTACTGCAACTCACTTTATAACATTTGTATCATATGTTTTTTTGGATTTTTGGTTGATAGTCTGTCTCTAATTTTTAAAATAGGTGTATTTTAAATGATATAGACCCCTCATTTCTTTGTAAGTGGGAAATATTACAAAATCTGCAGGGGATCAAATAATTATTTTCCCCGCTGTATATGGATTTATGTGAATGCACTATGGCAGTTAACACTATTCTATTTAATATCACTTTAAGAAGACAAGCAAAACAGTCCTTCACAAAAAAAAAAAAAAAAACACCACATCAAAAATGAGTATCACATGTAAGGCACCAACAGCATAATCCTAAGACATCTGGTTGCCAGTAATCGATATATCAGCATCATACATGTCCCCAATAATATATTTTACAATGAAAACAACATATCTCACCTCTGTTTGTCTGTGGCATAATTTTCTATTTCTTTACTAAATGCAGCTGGCCTAAAAATAAAAATAATATATATAAAATTAAGTAAATTGTAACCATGAGGTTTAAAAAAAAAAAAAAATGACTGACAGCAACATTTAGGCTTAATTCACTTGGAAGTTAAAAAGAATGGTCTCTGCATACAATCCCAATATCTAGTATTGGCTTTCATGTAAACACTGTGCTTGGGCCTACCTATTATTCATGAATGAGGCCAACCATAATATTACAATACTACAGGGAAGTGAGAGGCAACAAACATAAAAAAAACAAAAAGTTTAGATTTAGATAAAATGTCAACTGTTTATATCTCTGGATCTAGAGATAGCAATGTCATGCGATTTTCACCAAGGTAACGTACTCTTTAAAATGTCAAGTTTGAATCTTGGAAGTTTACTTTAAAAAGGGAGCCTGTTTTTTTGTTCAAACCAAGCAACAAGCTAATATTACTGTTGGGCCCCTTCCTACTATATATTCATACTTCCTTTGCACCTACACCACCAGCAAAGTAAAGCATCAATACTTTTGGTGATGGAGAGACAGATACTTTGTTCCCTTCCTCCAAAAATGCAGCCATTCACCAGGTACCTGTGCTGTCACACTGGACAAGAAGATATTCCTTTCCCTGGGTAAGCTCTGAACAAAGCATCCTAAATTTTATACTAGGCTTTTTCTCTTTGTTCCCCTGGATTAATGGATTGGTTGGGGGAGGAACAAAGGTGGTGTATAAAGCAGAAGAACCAGCACTATACACCAGATCTCAAAACGAAAGAAAGAATGATTTTATCCAGAGCTCAGGGGATGAAAACTCAATCCAAACATCTTTTTCTAGTAGAGCCACCTTAAATGAACTACCAGGAATAAATCCTATTTCAAAAATATTAGAACAAAACCTTATGAAATTCTCAGTAAAGATGAACATACAAATAACCATCACTGTGCTCTTGTTTTATGTGTTTTCATCTTTAATAGCTTTAAATAAATGTATACTTTCTAATATAAAACAGATGGTTATTTGTATGTTCACTTACACTGATAATTTCATAAGGTTTTGTTCCAGTAATTTTAAAAATATAATTTATCCATAGTAGCGTGCTACAAGAATAAGTTTATAATCAACTTATACCAGCGCAAAACCCACAAAACAAATTACATCACCCAACCCATAAATAATAATTACTAAATATCACAAACTTAAAATTCACTGTGACACAAAAATATATAAAAAATATTGAAATAATTTAAAAAATATTAAGTCCAGTGACAAAATCCAAAAAAACAGTCCCGTGAAAAAATAAATTATATTTTCATTGGATTCTTCCGTGCCAGTGATACCTCCACCAGTGCAAAAACAAACATTAACCGCACTCACCAGATAATGGTGAGTCAAACTCCTTTCAGGGATATTAAGGGCTCCTGGACCCTCTTTACTTTGTATATGACCTCCAAATCTTGCCTCCTCTAGGATATGGACACCTCCTCTGGTTACTCCTCTCACCGAATCCCCCAGAGAAAATCAGGAAGAAGAATAAAACCATAGTGTAATACCGTAATGATTTCCAATCTTAAAATAATTTTTCCAGACCACTCACATTTTAGCAGATAATAACCCACATTTATTGAAGTAAAACGATCTTTCTTTCATAAAAACGATCTTTCTTTCGTATAAAGCGATTTCTGTATAGAGACCCCACAGCCAGATATACAGCAGGATAACAGACCTCAGATGCAGACTCATCCACTATGCAAAAGATGGCCCCTTGGAACGCACCGCTCGGCGTGCGTTCCACTCACCGGAAATGACGTCAGACGCCGGGACAGGCAGCCGGAAATACGTCAACGCGTTTCGCCCCACCCACAGGGCGTTCTCAAGACCTCAAGACAGAAATCGCTTTATACGAAAGAAAGATCGTTTTTATGAAAGAAAGATCGTTTTACTTCAATAAATGCGGGTTATTATCTGCTAAAATGTGAGTGGTCTGGAAAAATTATTTTAAGATTGGAAATCATTACGGTATTACACTATGGTTTTATTCTTCTTCCTGATTTACTCTGGGGGATTCGGTGAGAGGAGTAACCAGAGGAGGTGTCCATATCCTAGAGGAGGCAAGATTTGGAGGTCATATACAAAGTAAAGAGGGTCCAGGAGCCCTTAATATCCCTGAAAGGAGTTTGACTCACCATTATCTGGTGAGTGCGGTTAATGTTTGTTTTTGCACTGGTGGAGGTATCACTGGCACGGAAGAATCCAATGAAAATATAATTTATTTTTTCACGGGACTGTTTTTTTGGATTTTGTCACTGGACTTAATAATATTTTTTAAATTATTTCAATATTTTTTATATATTTTTGTGTCACAGTGAATTTTAAGTTTGTGATATTTAGTAATTATTATTTATGGGTTGGGTGATGTAATTTATTGTTTTGTGGGTTTTGCGCTGGTATAAGTTGATATAAGTTTTTTGGTTTTGCACCTGTGTACAGCAGCATCTCACAGAGAATAGTGTGTGGAATAAGAGAATCCTGGGCGCTGAGGTTTTTTCTTTTTTTACAAGAATAAGTTGTTTGGGTTATGTATAAAGCATGGCACAGGGCTGGAAATACTGAACCTAGTGCTTTGCCCTGCAATGGACAAGTACAGATTCACTTTTCGAAAATTACATATCTCCTTTAAAAGAGGAGATCTATTTGGTCCCAAAACAAGGAAGAATACTGCAAATGTGGATCAAGCATAATGGCACTTTCAACAATGCACCCCAATACCTTTGCAAAAATAAAGATTAAAAAAAAAAACATTGTTACCAGAGGCCTTCTTTTTCTAGTAGTCTTTGATGATCCTTATAGATGATAAAGGATATCTCAGCTTTTACCTTTTCTCCTTCAACAATCGGATCGACAATAACAAAATCTCCTAGAAGAGAAGACTCTTTATTACATGTCCTGGTATGCCAAGTACAAATAAATTAACTTCTTCATAAAATGTAAGATTGCAACTTGACTCACAGCTGGCAACTATCTGAATATATTTTGCCCCTTTAGTCACTTGTGAGCAAAAACACTTTATTCACATAGCATCAACAGTGCTTCCAAGGGACTTTACAAATAACATTGAATTATTCAGAATGTTCTCCTTTCCACAAACATATCTTACATACTAATTTAACTACCACAGTCATGAACACCAGACAGCCATTTTTAACAGGGAAATTGACTCCCAGTATGTCTTTGGATTGTTGGAAAAAAATAAAGCACATAGGAAGCACAAATGCCATGCAGATGGTGTCCTTTGCTGGAATCAAACCTAGGATAGCACTGTAAGGAAGAATGCCATCCACTTAAACAGTCCATAGATGAGCCAGTTTTTTTTGTTCAACCAGTGAATAGAATGAAAAAAAAAAAAAAAAAAAAAAAAAAAAGAAGAAGAGGAAGAAGGACTGACTTGATTCTCCCATCCACACATTCAAGGTGGATGGGAAATCCTCTCGCTGAGGATATTATAGGATATTGAGCTATTGTATCCTGACAGCAGGGAGATGTCTCCACTGTCAGAAAACACTGATCAGTGTTGCAGACTGCAGTGCTGATCGAATAGGAAAATTCCGACAGGGTGTTTACACAAAAGTCGATCGGTAAATCAACAGCCAGAGGGGCCACACATGGATCACAATTCGACTGGTCCCTATTGAACCAGATTAATTTCAATCCATGTATGGCTGCTGTATACATTTATGCCCTTAGCTGAAATGAAACCATGCAAATGTAACAATTGCCAACGGGTTATTTAATCATATGTGAACACCAGCCCTTAGGACAACAAAATAAGCACAGAGCGTTGCAAAGGTATATTAGTTATTATCTGTTCTGCATAATACACTGTACCGGGCACCAATGCAGTTACCTACAGACCGAATATCTTGTAGCCTAGTGCTATACATTTCATTACCTCTCTTGATCCAAATGTTCTTCCTGAATTTTGTGGGCATGCTAGCTAAAAACTTCTCGCCCTCTGCAGTCTCTACTTCATGGAGATTATTTCCAGGACTGCCTAAAACCTGTCATTAAAAAAAAAGTGAAACAGATCAGACATCAATTCACAAAAATAGTTACAGTGGCAAATAATATACAAAAAAGTGAAGCGAAAAAAAAAAGATTTCAAAAAAGTTTGTTTTTAATAAGATATTACACCCACCAAACATTTTAAATGCTTTTGATTTAGGAATGTCGCATTACCCAATGCCATCAGTTCTCAGTATTTTCTTGTTTCTGCAATGGCTATCATGGTACTATACCCTGCTACTGAAATAAACTGGCAGCAACACATACAAGTAGTGCAGTGGTAATTTAGAGTCAGAAGTATGATGTAATTCGCGTACGCATCTTTCTGCCCTGATTCACAGGCATGCTCAGTGTGCTGTGCCGATGTAATTGGCACTCTGCGGCATCCATTTAAATCAAATGACGTCACAGTCAGTGTAAACATCAAGCCTTGTCAGCAAGAAAAAAAAAAAAAAAGTATCGCGCATGTGTACAATTACAGTCATACTACAGCAGAAAGGGCAGAAATATACGCTGGAACAGGATACCAGCAGCTGACACGTCACAAACATGGCGGATAATGGAAGTAAGGAAAATGTACATACGAATGACAAGAATTTACTTCCCCTATAAGCATAAGCTCCCTAAAAAAAAATCTGAACATCCATTATTCTCTATTTCAAACATTGAAAACCAGAGTTAGACTTACCAGTAACTATTTCCGGGAGTCTTCGAGGACAGCCCAGGAGACGGTTGAGCTGCTCCCACAGAACAGAAAACATGTTACCCTCCACAGATTAAAAGACGGTCCTCCATGCCCTAGTCTCAGTAACCACAAGAACTGAAGGACAGACCTGAAAAATATATTGTAAGAACAGCATAACATAAATGCAAAGGGTGGGAATCCAGCTGTCCTGGAATACTCCCGGAAATAGAGTTACTGGTAAGTGTAACTCTGGTTTTCCCAAGTCGTCTTCCAGGACAGCCCACAAGATAAGCAAGAACTTACCAGTTTAGGGTGGGACCACTGCTTGGAAGACCTTACACCAAAAAACCTGCTCTTCACTATTCAAGAGATCCAAACGGTAGTGCCTGACAAATGTTGAGAAACTTCACCAAGTTTTGGCCTTACATATTTGATCCGGGGAGGCACCAGCTCTCTTTGCCCAAGACTTAGACAGGGCCCTAGTAGAATGTGCATTAATGAAAAGGTACTGACTGGCCCTTAACCTGATAGTGAAATGACCTGCTTGATTTATCTGGCAATAGTTGACTTAGAAGCCTGAAACCCTCTTTGTTTGACGGAAAAAAGGACAAATAGAGCATCAGACTTTCTGAATTGCGTAGACAAACTCAAATAGTGTAAGACATCTCCTAACGTCAAATAAACTGAACTTCTCTTTTTCATTGGAGGGGGAGGTACAAAAAGGAGGGTAGAACAATATCCTGAGACCTATGAAAAGGTGTGACTACTTTAGGTAAAAAAAACAGGATCCATCCTGAGAACTATCCTATCATCATAAATTGAAAGGAATGGTTCTTTGATCGATAGAGATTGGCGTTTACTAATCCTATGTGCCGTGGTAATGGCCACCAAAAATACCATCTTCCAAGTAATTAGTTTAACGGATGCCTGCTCCAAAGGTTCAAACGGACTAAACGTCAATACTTGTAAAACTAGCAAAAGGTCCCAGGAAGGACAAGACCACAACAGCACCGGTCTCATTCTGGCCACTGATTTAAAGAAGCGCGCTATTATAGGATCTTCCAGGAGAGAAACTCTGAGAAAAACTCCTAAAGTTGCTGCTTGCACCTTAATGATGCAGGGAGAACAACCCTTGTCTACACCCTCTTGGAAAAAATCCAGGATTGTTTGAATGGAGGGTTCAGAATTCTTTTGTTCCACTATCCAAGAATTACATTTCTCCCAGACCTTGGAAAAGAAAGCTCTTGTATCCGGCTTTCGGCAGTTAACTAATGTTTGTACCACTTTATCTGAAAAACCCTCTTGCTTTAACAAATTATCCTTAGATACCATGCTGAAAGGTTTAATGTGTCCAAGCCTGGACAATTCACAGGACCCTGGGATAAGAGGTCTTTTCTCTTTGGAAGGAATACTGGAAGACTCACTGCCAAAGATTTCAGGAGGGCAAACCAAGAACGTTTCGGCTAATATAGAGCTATCAGAATGAGATCCAATTTCTCCATTTGAAATTTCTGCAACACTGCCAGAATCATCCTAATGGGTGGGAAGGCATAAGCTAGACTGTAATGCCATGGATTTGCCAGAGCATCTATGGCTACAACCATGTCCCCTGGATTAATGGAAAAAAAAAAAAAATTTCGGAACTTTTGCATTTGCTTGAGAGGCAAAAAGGTCTATCTGCAATTGGCCCCAAATACTTGTGAGCCAACAGAAAACCTCCTTGGCGAGAGCCCATTCCTCCTGCCATACTGCCTGATGGCTGAGGAAATCTGCTAACACATTCTGGGAGCCCTTTAAGTGTAATGTTGAGATTGAGGCTAGGTTGGCTTCTTCCCAAATCAATATCTTCTCCGCAATTGCCTGTAATCATGGACTTCTGGTGCCTCCCTGTTTAATGATATAAGCCACTGTGTGCTGTTGTCCGAGATGATTTGCAGATAATGACCTTTCAATTGACCCTGAAATTCTAGTCCTTTCCACAGCCAAGAGCTCCCTTTGGTTTGAGGAAAAACTGGCCTTAGTCTTTGACCACTGGCCCTGAGCCAGGCGGTCCTGTATGTGCGCCCCCCAACCCCAGAAGCTGGCATCTGTCGTCATCCTCAGGGAGTTCGGCCAGATCCAATCTAGACCTCTGGCAAAATAAATCTCTGTTCTCCACCACCATAGGGACTACTTGACCCTCTGAGGACAGAGAACCTTGTTCACAAGGGTGCCCCTCGTCCCATCCCAGGTCTGTAGCAGAAAGTGCTGCAGAGATCTCTGGTGAAATCGGGTCCAAGCCACTGCCGGAAAATATGCGGTCATGAGACCCACAACCGTCAAGATCTTCTTCAGGGAGATAGGGAGATTCGATTGCAGATGGGCTACTTGGTAGAAGACCTTGTATTACTTGTCTGCGGAGAGAAACATCTTTTGCACCCTTAAATCTATTATGTACCCCAGGAACTTTAGTTACAGAGATGGAATCAGATTCAATTTTTCCCAGTTGATCATCCAGCCCAGCGACTGTAGGTGGTTTGTATAACCTTGAGATACCTCCGCAACTGTTGCTCAGAAGGGGAAGCTAACAGGAGGTCATCTAAATAAAGCACTACCAGTACGCCTTTCAGCATCAGAGGAGCCAAAGCTCCTCCCTGGACTTTGGAGAAAAACTTCGGAGCAGAGGATAGATCGAAAGGGAGTGCCCTGCACTGAAGATGCTAAACCTTGTCCCCAAAATTGACAGCCATTCTCAAGTACTTCTGAAAGGAGGCATGGATGGGTATGTGAAGATAAGCATCCTTCAGATCCAGGGACACCATAAAATACCCCTGATGTAGGATAAACCTGAGCGAGAATATCGAATCCATACGAAAGTGCTCGAATTTTATCGATCTGTTGTTGAGGTTGTAAATTCAGTAAGACGGAAATTGCCTTGGGGGTTATTCACCACAAAAACGTGAGAATAAAAACCCCTACCCCTTTCTCCTTCTGGGACAGAAACCAAGATTCTCTGATCCACCATCTCTCCTATTTGCAGGCATAGTGCCCTTGCCTTTTCTCGATCCAGGGGAAGATTTGTCACCAAAAATCTTTGAGGGGGCAATGAGTCGAACTCCAACCTCTAACCCTGAGCTATCAGGTGAAGGATGAAAGGATTGGAGGAGACGGATTCCCAGGTTGGGAGGAAGGCCCCCAATCTTCCCCGCACTGGAAGGAGTCGCTGGGTTTTGGGGGAGGGTTGGGAAGGATTAAACAGGATTCCTCCCCTGCCCCTATTCTTGTGACCAGACCTATGTTGATTCAGTCTAGCCTCTTTACATTGTTCCACCTGCGGTCTGCCTTGCAGACCACGAAAAAACAAACATTCTGAAACCTGGTGTCTTTTCTGGGAAAGCCTTTTTCTTATCCGCCGTGCGCTCTAAAGCTTCTAGCAATCCAGGGCCAAAGAGACTGTCCCCTGAAAAAGGCAATGTGCATAAACGAGCCTTAGAGTTCAAATCCCTAGATCAGGTCTTCAGCCAAAGAGACCTCCTAGACCAGGGGTAGGCAACCTGCAGCTCTCTAGCTGTTGTGGAACTACATTTCCCATGAGGCATTGCAACATTACAAAACTGACAGTTACAGCTATAACTTGCAGAGGCATGATGGAACTTGTAGTCCTGCAACAGCTGGAGAGCCGCAGGTTGCCTACCCTTGTCCTAGACAAATTCACCAGAGCCGAAGATTTAGCGGCCATTTTTACTGCCTCTGCAGAAGAATCGGCCAAAAAGCTCAACTCCTGGAAAAGCATAGAGAAATAACTTAAAATCTCCTCCCTAGACGTACCTCCAACTTAGCAGATTTTAAGTTGGGATAGCCAAAAATCCAAATAACTGGCTACACAGGTAGAGGCAAGGGCTGGCATGAAACTATTCACTGTAGACTCCCAGGCCCTTTTAAGAAAGACATCCCCCTTTTTATCCATAGGGTCCCTAAGGACTCCCATGTCCTTGAACGCCAGGGAGGATTTCTTTGAAGCCTTTGGCAAAGCTGCATTCAATCTAGGATTTTTATTCCTAGGGTGCTCAACACCCTTCTCAAAGGGAAACCTCCTTTGAAGACTATTGGAAAAGAAAGGCTTGCTCACTGGCTCCTTCCAATCCAACTCAATAGCCTCAGTTAGAGATTTATGACCAGGAAAAACCCTGCACTTCTTGCTCTGTAGACCCTCATACATTAAGTCGTGTCTAGAGAGCTAGACCTTTTCTTCTATTTCCAGAGTCTCGTAAATGGCCTTCAACAACTCATCCACTTCTTCTAAGGAGAGTTTGTACCTAGAAGACCCTCTCC